GGTTAAATTGGCAGGCCAACGACTAGTTTTTAAACTTCCAACCGTTGGCCAATTTTTAATTTTTTTTTTGAAAAATAACCGTTGGGCCCGTTAGGCCCTGTTGAACTGGCCCATGCCAGCCACCCGGTCCCGGGCTAAACGGTCCCGGACTCGCGGTCTCTCCATGCTGGACCGGCCCACAGTGGGCTCCTAGGACCGCTTGGGACCGAACCATACGGGCCAGCCCGTTTCGCCCAAAGCCCATGTGGGCTCGCGGTCCCGGGCCGGTCCCGGGCTGGGCCCGGACCACAATACAACCTTAATCCTAACACAAGTTGTATTTATATGACTAAAGTGGCACTCTTTTGCATTGAGCGAATCGCTTGAAATATCAAACTTAATGAAAAACTCATCTATTGTCTTCTTGAGGGGAGATTTATTTTTTAAGAGGTTGTTTGGTACAAGGGATAAGGATAATAATCAAGGGATAGAATTTGGAATTGTATCTCTCCCCTGTTTGATTATATGTATTAGTTAATCCAGAAAAAAGTTTTACACTAAAATGGTGGGATTAGCTATCCCATATGGAAGGTGGGATAGCTAATCCCACGGGAAATCCTTATTTATCCCACCATTGTACCAAATAGGTATAAAAGTTAATCAACTATGGAGGTATAATAAAACTTAACTGCACGCAAGGACCTTTAAATTCTAAATAATTGATTTTATGTGAACTTTTAGGCTTTGAAGATGAATAATTTAATTTGTTTGTTTTAGTCACGGCTTTAAATTTATTTATTTCCTCCCTATTTCACCACATAATGGCTCAACTTTTTTCAGATAGTAGCAAAACCACAAAAGAAAAAAAGTAGAATATTAGTCTAATCTCCATAGCAACAATGCACAAAAATTTTCATCTGTTTAGAAAGAGACTCTTGTGAGCTACATATGATCATAAATAACCAAAATATCAAAGTAGCGTAGAAACACATGAGGGAAAAAATTATTTTGCATTCTGCTTCGCCTGCAATTCAGTAAGAGAGGTTCCCTTTCCTTTCTTGTCCCCGTTAATCTCAAAATGCTTGCACGGTTGCACCTCCTGATTGGGTGTTGTGATTTGCAACCCTGGCGTTGTAATCTCAATACGATCTTCTATATGAGTTTTGCCTTTTGTGGAAAATATGTTTGTTCACGACCTTACCATAACCTCACTGCTTGTCGCAGTTTGCGTTCCTTGTTTTAAGACGTTCAAAATTTTGGCGGGCTTTGAATGAGATAAATTGGTAGATATCATTTTAGCTGTTTAGTAACTTAACTAAGTTGAACAAATTATAGTACAAACTCAACATGTTAATAAATTCGACGGAAGATCTTTGAGTTCAATTGCTATTAAAGGAGAAGATCTACTGACTTTTGAGCAAAAAGAGTAGATAAGAGTAGAGGGCACTCGCCTTAAAGATAGATTTGACATTATTCCTCTGAAAGGAATATGAAAATCTTTTGGCGTTCTGCCTCAGAAGAACATCAACGATACTTCCCACTATTGACTTTGCATCATCACTAATTAAATATGTTGTCTGATACAAACATTAATCAAATTCAAAAGCTACTTATGATTACTATGCAACTCCAAATATAGTCATGCTTACCATGCAACACGCGTGAGAGAGGGAGTAAAACTTGAAAATTACCTAAGATCATTGTTCTTCAAGCAAAAACGGTAAATTTCAGTAGGGTCATCTGCAATGCTAAATAGAAATTAAGAACTTTACCAGATTAGATCAACATTACAAGGATAAAAATAAACGAAACCCAACATACCAAAAGAGGTAAAACCCCATGTTATAAGCGATTTGATTATGTGCATATGTAGCATCTTACATAAATACAAAAAGGACATTTTAATAGTTTCCATTCGGCAAGTCCCCCCTTCTTCCTTACCCTGGCAAGTCTTTGTGAAATAACTCCGATGAGAAGAAAAGAGGAGTTAAGAGACCCTCCTGGCCTAACCCTAGACACTCTGAGATCCTTTTTCAAACCTGCTCCCATTTCGAGTCAAGAACAAAATGGCTCGAATGGTACGATCCTTTCGTCACCCCAGAGTGAAAGGGGTGATCTCATAGTTCTTGGTCCGGTGAGAATGTAATATGCCAATGGAACACGATTTATATATAATGGTAACATGCGGTTTAACTTGTTTTTATCCATGTGGAATTAGTATGTATTTGGGACTTCAAAAACCGGTAGAACGTCTCAAATAGCTAAAATTTGAAACGACTTTAGTTCGAGTAAGAGACGATTCAAACTTCTACACGAATTTTAAATATTCTATTATTTGTTGACTTCAAAGTTCATGTATATTAGATAGTCCTAAATATTACAGCTTTATCCAAATTTCTTTGAAGAAATATTAGCTTTATAAGGGTCGAAAAGTTGATCAGCTTTTCGGGAATATTTTGCTCCATCAACATTTAGCTTTTAAACATTCGTATAATATATATATATATATATATATATATATATATATATATATATAAAATACTACAACAACAACATACCTAGTGTATTCTCATAGTGTATACATAGACCTTACCATTACCTTGTGGAGATAGAGAGGCCGTTTCCGATAGACCTTCGCCTCAAAAAGCATTTCTAAGCAGGATGGGAAAAGAAGCCATGTGGAAAAACAGTATTGAAGAAGCCATATTGAAAATAATAAAGACAAGAACAGTAACAACAACAATAAAGCAGTAAGATAACTGAAGCAAAGGAAATAATCGGTAGTCATAGAAATCAAAGAATAAGATAATATGATAATGATAGTAATAATACTGATATGGAAAATAAGGAATAGATACGCTATCCCAAACACGACAACCTACTAAGGAACATATATACTTCGAAGCTATCTACTTAGCATACTACGTAGAGCATGGCCAAATCATCTAAGACAACCTTTTCTCTATTTCATATTCTATGTGTGCTACTTGCATAGTTTGTTTGACGTGATTATTTCTAACCTTAACCAATCTTGTATAATTCCACATCCATTTTAACGCCCGCAGTTCTACAACACTCACCTTATCGATATGTTAGGTTTAGAGGGCCAACATTTACTCTCATATATCATTACTGGTCATATATGACTTTGCTTCTATTTGTTTTTTATCTTCCTATTGAATTGCACTCCTATAACACTCCTATATTTAACCATCATATTTAATTTGCTTGTTACATCTTCATCCATCGTACCTTTCTCCTCAAACAACTCAACCTAGATATTTGGATTGCCTGCATTTAGGACCACGATCCCATCAGACAAAGTCTAAGTTGATTGTTGTTATTGTCTAAAGTGAAACTTTATAATCTCATTTGAGTTGTTACATGAGAAGTTCTTTCCATCTTAGCATTCTTGTGGTTTCAAACTTTTTGGATAACTTGTGCATAGAATAGGATCATTAGAGACATGACCCAACTTGGCTGGAATCTCTATCATGTTTTTTCTTCCTCGCCTAGTGATGCTTGAAGCAGAAGGACATTCAAGCTATGACTAGATAAGCCCAACTACAACTCTTGATCCATTTAGATTCTTCCAATATTATAGTGCTATGCTTACCTTCTAATGGCACATCTAAATATTTTGAAGTTTTACAGCTTATGTAGATTCGTCAACAGAGAAATAAGGCAAAGATCTTAAGCTAGTCATAAAGATTAAAGGTCCTTTTCAATTTTGGAATGGGATAAATCTGTCTCATCTTCCTTCAATCATTGGCTCAGATCTGCATAATATTTCAAGTCTTTACAACCCCTTGAGTTTCTTAAAACAAATTATATTCCTTGCACTCGCTAATGATCCCAATCCGCATTGTTGAAATTTTGCGATGGAGACCAAACAGCCTGTCCAAATTGCCAACAACCAAAGAGTCCTGAACCCTCTTGTTTTACACTGTATTAATTTTTCACCAGTGTGTTTCACTGTCTAAGTGTAAATCAGGGAAACAACTTCTTAAAAACTCACCCCAAAAAAAAAAGAAGGATTTTTTGAAGTTCATTAAATATGTTCCTAATGCTGATGCACAAAAGATACAAGTCAGTCTTCAAATACCTTAAAATTCCAAAATGAAATGTATCATGCTCAGAGAAAATAGTAGATAAATTAAATAGAACCTAGAGATCGACTACTTCTGTTATTTGGTCCTGTAAGGCTGTTTTACTGAATGTTTTTTTCCCGGTTTGATGAAGAAATTCGTTTCATTGATGGCATCAAGAAGATGCAGTGAGTACAGTTGTAATTGATGTTTTTTCGGCTCTCTTCATGTCTCATTGGCCATGTACTTAGTGAAGCACGTAAAATAACCTATCATTCACTTGTTATATGATTCTGTTTGTTAGTTACTCGAAAAAAGTTCTCTTAAAATCCTCAATGTCAACTGCAATAATGATTTGTTTAATGTATTCAAATCTTACTTGAATTAGATCATGTGATTAAGTACTTGCTTGCAATAACATGGAAAAAACTTGATCATGTGTTTAAGTTTTGAAGCTGTAAATTTTCTTTTACCATCAAGGCTTGTCTATTTGTATCAGTGGGAGTTTCCCACACAGTAAGTGCTCGATTCTCAATATCCCCTCCCGAATCCTCCTAAGTAATGTGAAAAACTTTTAGTTATTAAAAAACAAAAAACTCAAACTTCTGAGTGCAAAATATTCTTGAAGTCCTTCATGGTATCTACTTTCCTGAGAAGCTTCATTGTAGTGTTGGGTTGGTTTCTCACCATTATGCTTTTAGCAAAACTAATGTTCATGCCTTTTTTTTTCTTAAATAGTTGGCATGCATTTGTTGCTTTTAACTTTCCTAATTTTATGCAATTTAAGTTGACTGCAGGAAAGGACTGAATGGTGTAAAGTTTTTGGAATATTTATGATAATCAAATGCTCCATGTACAACTCAAACACTTTCAATTGTGTAGTGGGAAACTTTTTTCTTTAATGTAGATGCTGATTTGCATATCAGTTTATAGCCATTCACATTCTATGTACAATCTTTTCAGTACTTTCCCCCCAGATTTGCCCGATTGGTATCTCACTTGACTAATCAAGAAACTTATCTGGAGGACTCAAGTGGTCAGAAATGGAAGGTGGGAATACGTATTCATAAGGGTTCGCTTGCAATTAGAGAGGGATGGCATGCATTTTCATCAGAACATGGTCTGAAAATTGGGGACTTCTTGGTTTTCCACTATATTCAGGGACAGCACTTTATTGTTCAAATATTTGGAACAAGTGGTTGTCAAAAGATCAGCTTTGACAATGGCACTCGCACAGGGAAGAAAAGGCGAAGAACTAATTGTAAAGCAACTTCCCAAGATGAGCTGCTACCGGAAATTGACATAAATTCAAGAAAAAAGTGGAATTCAACACACTCAGATACAGCTGTACCAGAGTCTGAAATGGCTGATCACGAGGCAGTGACCACAACTTTTGCATCAACCATAGATGCTGACACTGGAATCCTAGAAATAGTTCACGAAGCAGAAGCAATCAGCAATATTCTACAAGGTGAAGATGGACCTCGTAATCATGTTAGCACCAATTCAATATCACAAAGGGAGTCAAGTTTAGTAGATGAGGTTCCTGTTGAGATGGAGCTCTTAAGCTTTCAAGCACCTGTGCACTTCCTTGACATTGGAATCACTCAGACTGAAAAAATTTCTGAACCAGTGAACGATATTTTACTTTTGGGCCAAAAAGATGAAAATGTCCATAATATGGGTCTTATCTCTAGCACGTCTTCAGCTGAAAAAAGTGGTAAGGGTAATTTTCCCTTTCATTTTTATCATATCTTAATCAATATCTTTACCGTGTCCAGAAACACTGGAAGGGAAGGGAAAATTACTAAAGAGGGAAAATAGAAGGGAAGTGCGAGAGAATAATTAGTGGGACTAAAGAAAATTGATTTTTTCCCCTCTCTTCTCTCTCCACTTCCCATGCTCTTCTCTTGATAAACTAAAAAAGAAAAAGAAAATTCTGTACTTTTCCCTTAATTTCCTTCCTCTTCCCTTGTTTCTAAGCAAGTCCGTGATTTACTTTGATTGGCTCCAATATATATTCTCAACCACATGATGATATGATATATTAGGTAGTCATTTGGTCTTGCCATCTAATAAAGAAAGTCGCTGCAGCAATCAAGCTACCAGAGAGAAATCCAATAAAGCATCTCATATTGGTAAGCTTCCAGTCTTTAACATTAAGAATCATTTTATTCTGCTGTCTTAAAATGTATTCTTATTCTTCTGTAACTTTTGTGTGTGACACTAAATTTTTTCTTTATCGGTTTTATTGGATTTCTTCCTGTTATTGTGGGGTTTTGCATCATGAATAGATAAGAGAGAACTGAAGGAGATGGCAGCGAAAACAGATTGCTCTGCTGAAAAGCTAAATGGTATAACATTTTCATATTTACTTTAATACTCTCATTTCATCTTGATATCCTTTTCTCATTACTGCACATGATCCCATGCATGCATTCTTATGTGATGTATGCTGCATGAGCAAATGCAGGAAAAGAGCCAAAATTAATAGAGAAAGATGGTCAAGGTTTTCTAAGGGCTGTAAGTGGTAATAACAAAGTTATCAAAAGTGAGCCTGCTGATTCAGGAGATACATCATTTCCTGATGCTGGCAACTTCTCATGTTTGCTACGGGTGGATGGTCGAAATTTTCTGGTGAAAATCTTGCTGAAATATCATTCCTTCTGCTATTAGATGGATTTTGAGGAATTTCATTTGTTTGTTTTATTCCCTGCAGCATATGCACTGAATGAATAATGTTTATATCTAGTGTTTGTTGGAGTGACATGCATTTTAGTACTGTTTTCACCAAACTTCTCATGTTGTTCTTTTTCTTGGTCCTAGCAAATGGCTGATTTCAACAACTTCTTATGCTACGAAGAGCAGATATTCTGTCTTAAGATTTCTCAAGGAAAAAAAGTTGTAGGGTTCTGTGGAACTACATTCCATTGTTTATTGGAATATCTGGCACTTTAATCATCTGACCACACTGATCATTCTTTTTTCTTTTCATATTTTTGTCCTGATAAAAGCTTTCTCCTTAGAGAATGCGGTACGCTGCACATTGTGCTTAACTTCCTGTATTAGGCTGAAATTTTCTTTTGATTCCCTGAGTCTATATTTGAATTTACTGCATAGGAATTACCACAAAGCTGGCCGCAAGTTCTGACAGGCAGGAAAAAGCTGGAACATAGTACTATTTATCTCCAAGGACCAGATGATAGACCCTGGCCTGTCACCTATCATGAGAGAGCAGGTACTAAGGTTTTGGCGAGTCGCTGGGCATTATTTACCGCAGCATATGGCATTAAGCCGGGGGATGAATGTCGATTCCAAGTTTTAAATCTGTCAGAACGTAGATTTAAGGTACACATAGGCCACAAGTTAAGATGTTACTCAAACTAGTTTGAGTTGATTATTCTGAGCAGTTGTGAGAAGAATGTGATTGGAGTTATGGGGAGATAGAGTTTACTTAATGGTTTTTATACATTCATTTGATTTAAGAAAATCTATAGTGGATTTATATGTTGTGCTGATACTTTGGTTTAGCAGCAATGAGATGTTATGGATGCTGACTGTTGAATAAGTTTTCATGTATCAAAGGTATTTTTTCCCGGATGTCAAAGGTATTTGGTCTAACATTGACACTTTTAATATCAAGAATATTAAAAGTGAAAAAAGATTTAACAATATCAAGAATATGCATATCTCGTTCACCTTTCATTTCTCATAAATGATTTGGTCACAGTCTAAGTCCATGTCCGTTCAGTCTGGACCCTCCTTTTTGGAAATGAAAATGGGATTTAGTTTTGGGCCACTCCTATAGAATTCGTTTCAGGATGTGTTTGGTATGTTCAGGAAGTTATTTTTTAGTATATGGTATGACACAAGTAATTCTCCAAGGAAAAAATTACTTCCTCACTAGTGGGTGCAAGTCATTTTTTGCGTCATACCAAACAAAAATGTCGTTTGGTTTGAAGACAAGTTGTGCAGGGATTAGTTATGAAGAGTTATAATACAGAGATTTTTTTTGTTGGATGTTTGGCTTTATTATATTAAAAATCACTAATATATATTTTATAATTTAAAGTACATATTTTTCATTTATTTCCATTGAAGCACCAAATAAAAAAAATCGTCCTAGCTATAAAGAAAAAACATGTATTTCACCTCCAATAATTGTAAAAATAGCACGGTATAACTAGTTTTCGGACTGGTTATTTAAAAATAGCCAGCGTTTATGAAGTCAATGAAAAATAGCCACTATTTTGCTGCAACATAGACCGGTTCAGTATAATATACTGGAGTTTGGTGCACCTGTGTATGAACTCCAGCATATTATGCTGGACCGGTATACTTTGCTGACTCCAGTATAATATACTGGAGACTGGAGCACCGGTGCTCCAAACTCCAGTATATTATACTAGACAATTATACTTGCTGGAACTCCAGTATATTATGCTGGAGTTCTAGTGTACTTATGCTGGAACTCCATCATATTATGCTGGAGTTCCAGCATACTTATCCTGGAACTCCAGTATAATATGCTGGAGTTCAAGCATACTTATGCTGGAATTCCAATATAATATACTGGCGTATTTTCCGGGTTTTAAACAGTATTTTCGCTCAAATTTATTTTTACATGAAAAGTGGCTAAATTTCGATTACTTTTGAAACTGGGCTATTTTTGAACGACCAGTTATAAATCGGGCTATTTTTGAATTTCTCCCCCAATAATTGAATCATGAAATGGCAATGATCCGGCCTGAGGTGTGGTGTTACAGAGGCCTTCCTTGCTTTAGATGAAAACAAGCTCGGATTGTTTCCATTCTCAAAAGAAGATAGAAAACAAGTTCAGAAGAATAAGAACATCCATCTCAAATTGGAATATCACACAAACACAGCTGTCTATGGAAGAACATATTAGACTTTTGTTTAGGATCAAGCATCAATGGTTTACTTTTTCTACTCCTCCATTTCTTAATCAGGAGAGCTAGAGGATGGTGAAATAGGTATATTAACTTAGTAAGAGAGATATGATTAGGTATGAGGATAGTCGGGACAACGTGGGAGTAGTCGCCGTGGTGGATAAAATGCGAGAAGAGAGACTGAAATGGTTCGGGCATGTGAAGAGGAGTGTCCAAATACCCTAGTGGGAAGGTGTGAGAGGTTGGCCATAGTGAGTCTGAGGAGAGGTAGAGGTAGACCAAAGAAGTATTGGGGAGAGGTGATAAGGCAGAACATGATATTCTGCAGCTTAGTGAGGATATGACCCTTGATAGGAGAGTATGAAGGTCGTGAATTAGGATAGAAGGTTAGTATGTTGTCGAGCTTTTCCTTTTTAATACCTGTAATATCATTATTATTCGCGGATTTTCTTACATTTAGTTCTCCATTACTACCGGTTGTCTTTTTTGCTTTGATTATCTTTTTATCATGTTGTTGTTTCTTGTTACTGCTTTTTCTTTTTCTTTTTTCATGGATTTTCCTTTACTGTATTTCTTGTACTATGTTGTGACTATGCTTTTTTTAAGCCGAGGGTCTATCAGAAATAGTCTTTCTACCTCCACAAGGTAGGAGTAAGGTCTGCATATACACTATTCTTTCCTGTCCTCACTTGTAGGATTAAACTGAGTTTTTTGTTGTTTTTGTTTTCTATTCTTAATTAGAAACATGATGTTTCGTTTTTAAGACAAGAAAAGAGATTGAGTACTTTTGTCATTCGTTATTTTAATTCACATATTATTTAATGCATATGTTCTTATTCCACATTGAATTTCACATAAAATAATACACCACTTTCCTCGTTAATTTCTGTGGGTATTATTAATGAGGACAAAAAAAAAAAAATTCTATAACTAATACAGCCATACAGGTTTATAATGCAACAAAAAAGTAAGCAAACAATAGTAGCTGCAGGATCCTTTCCCTTATGAGGACAAGAAGTAAAGCGAATTGGAAGAAGCCAAAAAAAAAAAAAACAGTTTCAAAGGGAATCACCCGGAGAGTTAGAGTAACCTTAAAATCATCATCGATACACTGTCTCCTCCTCCGCTCCCCCTCCCCCACCATATATCCTATTATTACGACATTGACTGACATTACCATCTCTAATCCCCCACGTGTGTCTCTTTTTTTAAAATAACTTTGTATATTTCGTTTTATGTGACATTTGTTTAATCCAAATATATTTTTAGGAATACACAATTAAATTTATCTTTAGTAAGGTCACTAGCAACGGTTCCAATCAAAGTTCAATCAAATGAATTGTAGAATAAAGCTAATAGTGATGTGAATAAATCAATGAAATTAAACAAGTTAAAGATAAGAAGGATCTTATTGATGGTCGCTGTGAGTCACACTACTTGCAAAATCGAGAAAGATTGCTCAGGAATAATACAATGGCTTTCAGTAAAGAGCGAGTTCAGTAGACTGTAAATGAATCGACAAGTCAATAGAATGGGATATTTATAGCCTAAGTATAACGTTCACAAGATCATCCCCACTTTCACATGTCACCCCAAGTGGTTAGTAACCGCCGAGATACTTGCCGGTTGTGAGTGGCGAATCTGTTATTGTGGGCGTGGGTGAATCCCTTACGTTATGGGGGCGGTTGAGGATCAAGTCTAGTTCCATGTCATGACTTTAACGATATAGCCCCCGCAACCATCTTTGGAGTGCTTCTCCGAGATTCTTGCGCTTAGTTCTCCGGGAAGAAATCACCTAACCGTATGTACTTCCTGTGAAGATCAAATTCTCTTGTTATCCTGTTCCCGGGGTAAAACTTATCTAAAAAAATATCGTGTCATTCATGCGATTTATCCACATGTCAAATTTAAATTTTACCAATACAAATAGTCCTCCCACTTTTCGGATAATTCTCTAGAAATATCCGGGAAGTGGTATGATTTTTGACATATTGCAAAGAGATTTTTGGCATGATTTTCCATGCAACCGTCACTACTTTTGAATCTGAAAGGACTTCTAGTTAATTCCATTAAAAGCCCGAAACACATGGCGGGCATCAACAAGTTGCGACTCTAAAGCGCTTATCAAGGTCAGTGGCATCGTCTATAAGAATCGTCCTCCTTACTAGTCTTATTTACCTTGTATTTGAACTTTTTTCTAAAATTGCTCAAACTCCATTATTTTTTTTTCCTAAATATCTTAAAATCTTTTTGCTTTTTACTTTCTTCCTATGTTATCTTCAAATGGCTTCTTCAAATAATTCAATCAATGCTCAGGAGGTAGTGGATGTTGTAAAGTTCGTTGTCGTTGCTCCTCTTCCTGCGCCCACCACGGCTATGGAGGACACAATGATGGAGGAACCACCTGTCCTGACTAGAAGAAGTAGGAGCAGCAACCTCCCACGGCGGCAGGAGAAAGATCTTCGCACCCCGCCGACGCGAGTGAAGCAGTTCCGACCACTTTGTCCCATATTGTTTCGTCACCAGTCCCGGCTAAGAAAGGCAAGGGTGCCAAAGCCTCAGGCAAAGGCAAGAAGGAACAGGAAGAACCGACAACCTCAGAGGTTCCTTCGAAGATGCTCCACCTTATCGGTTTTGTTTACTACAGGAATTATACTCCGGAAAGGCCGATTAAAAACTTTCTGTTAACTTTACAAGAGAAGCACCTTCCGGCAATGCTGAGAGATTTTGCCTAGGAGCTAGGGCAAGGTTTGAGCTTCTCTTTCTGAAGCATGACAAAACATTTCAACACACAGGGAAGGTTTTTTGTTCGTGTTCGCCTTCCCGTTCACCCTTGGGTTCAAGCCGGCCATCGACCCGGTAATCAAGGACCTTTGCAAGGCATTCAATGTCTGCTTGGGTCAGCTAGGACCATGCATGTAGCGGTCAGTGGTGGTAAGTGGCTTGCCTGAGGTTTCTTGCTGAGAAAGTGGGGGAAGGTTTTTTCTTTAAACAACTCTTTCAAATTTATTGCCCCAAGCTTTACAATGGGTCAATGCTGACGTTGACGAGCCGAGACACCCCGCTCTTCTGTCCAATGTGGAGGATGATTTCGATCGGAGATGGTACTAGAGGTTTGTTAAAATACCTACCTGGGACATCTTGAGCGAAAGTGATCTCCCTTTCCCGGAAGAATGGAATTTCAAGCGTAAGTCCTCCCCTTCTTACTTGTTTATAATTATTCATTCTATAATGAGATTTTCTAATTCATGCGATAAATAGGGGATCTGGAATCTATCACCGGTATGCACCCGTATATAGAAGAGTGGGTTGATAAAAGTTTGAAATCGACGACCATGGAGGTGAGGACGTGGAAGGATATTTCACCCGTCAAGGGATGGGAGTTTAAAAGTCACGGTATGAGTGCTTTAATCAAGTAATGTTTCAATCGTAACTACCTGATAATATTCCTGATATTCCTCTTTGGCTGTGGCAGACACCAGATTTAGGAAATCATCAACTCGGGCTGAGTTCCTAGATCTCGAGATATCTCAAGAAATTGTACGACAACCATCCTTGTCCAAAAGGAAAGTCGGTTAGGAGGGCCTTCTGCCACGAAGCCCCAAAAAACAATAAAATACAAGAACTCCAAAAAGAAAGCTCAAGAGAATAAGGAGGGGAACATCCCTAGAGTCAATCCCAGGTTCTCTT